CACAACAGATCTGCCTTCTTCTGGGAACTGAGCAAAAAGTATATATAGCACACGTTCCGTTGCTGCAGGACTGGAGCAGCCGAAGGCAAAGTCAAAGCCAGGACTAGAAAAGCTCCCCGTGGAGCAAAGCCCAAGGTGGGAGAGCGGACCACTGACTGCAAACCTCTGCTCCACGGGTGGGTTTCCAAGGGCAGCAGCCAAGGGGGAGCTTTTCCCCAGCGAGGAAAGGTTGGAGAACTTCTTCAGAAGAAGTTGGTGGTTTCTGTCTCAAATACCCGGGACCTCCCACCAAAGATCTCAGGACCCCTTGCTGGGATCTTTGGCGCTCAGAACGCAAGCCTGTCCTGGTGAGCCTTGGAGGGGCGGGGTCTCAGCCTGGCCAACAGTGACCTCGGTCAGCTGTTCCGCGCTGTGCAGTCATGAGGCATGCTTGTGACAAGCCGGATATTTTTATTGTATTAACTCGTTCAGTCCTCGCAACAGCCTTAGGAAGACGTCTGTCTGTTCCCATCCCATCCCACGGATGAGGCAACTGAGGCAGGAGGAGACGGGCCCCGCCTAGGACTCCCCAGCACTGCCCGCTGCCCGTGGTGGTCCCTATACTGGGGACAGTCGCAGAGCGGGGTGGGCAGCGCGGAGACCCCGAACTCGCCCCGTTCGCGGCCAATTGGGGCGGGGCCCCGAGTGGCGTGACGCGGCGTCAGCTTGCGCTCGCGGGACTCGGGCTTTGGTCACGTGCCCGGCGCCTGCTCGACCCGGGGGCGGGGCTGTAAGACCTGCGGGCACCGGCTCTGCCTGGTGGGACTGCTCCCCTGCAAATGGCTCCCAAAGCTCAGATTTCCGTGCCTTCCCGGGCTTCCTTACCGGGGGGACCAGCGTGCACGTCCCGGTTGGTCCCCACCCTCTAAGCACAGGAGACACGGCTGGGGTGTTCTGAGCCGTGAGGGGCAGGGCCCCTTTGCCCAGCAGTGCCCTCACTGTTGGGAGCTCAGAGGTGCGTGGAATGGCAGGCCCTGGGCAGAAAGCTGCAAAGGAGGCTGCTGAACCTCCAGGGCCACCTGCCACTCTGCATGACCCCGTTATCCTTCTTGACTGCTGGAGCTAAGCGTGGGCCTGCCTGGGCAAAGGAACAGCGGGCCAGGCAGTGGGAACAGACTGCTAGGAGTCCAGAGCCACCCGGGAGGTCTTAACCCCCTGACTTGACTTTTTACCGGCGACGACTGACGTAGATGAGGGCTGATCTCATCGGAGTCGACTTCTGTTGGGAGCTGTCCAGGAAGTGTCTAGCCCTCTCTGGGCCTCTGTCTCACCCACCGTAGTGGCTGCTTGGCATTACAGTCCCTTGATAGACCTCCACACAAGGGTTGGGTATGCCCAAAGCCTGTGCACAGTGAAGAGCTAAGCTCACAAATGGAGAGCGGGGAATCCTGGCTGTTGAGAAGCCAGCTATGTATCAGAGTCCCGGAGTAAAGAAAAGTCCATCAACAAATGGTGAAGCCCAGCCCTAAGGGAGTTACTGTTGGAACCCCAGGTCCCCACTGCTTATCACCCTACGGAAAACTGGGGAACAGACACTGGTGGGGAGGTGCAGGTTTATCTGAGACCCACCTCGAAGGAGACGGAGCAGATTCTCCATCTCCCGGGGTTTTCGGAGGTGTAAAGAGCCGTGGTAGGAGAAAGGGGTACAGGATGAATACAGGAGGGTGATACTCCGGCCGCTGCAAGTCACGTTGACCTCGTGGGGTAGAGAAGGTGCTAGACCTTCCACCGATGTGGGGACTGGCAGTGGGCAGTGGTATCCCCTCTGTGCTCTCAGCCCTCAGGAGGTGAAGCAGGGGGTCTGTGTTGGCGACCAGGCTGGGCAGCTCCCACCTCTTAAAGGACTTCTCATCAGAATTTAGAACGTTAGGCAAAAGCGAAGCTGTGGGATTCGGGGAGGCCTCAAAAACCAGGAAGGGTGGGCTTGGGAGACGGGGCAAAAGAATGTGCTGGAAAGACTGACAGGCTCAAACAGAACGTTTCGCCTGAATGTTGGACTCCAGGCCTTACCAGACTGACGACTGTCCTTTCAGCCAGGCTTCGGGCTCCTTTTTCTCTCCTCATCTTCCCTGGGGTTACCTCAGCCCATTTCACTCAAAGATTGATGAACTACAAAGGCCTCGGTGGGTCATTCACAATTCCATCTCACAGCCGAGGAAAGGGCACAGTGGATTCTCTGGTGCCACTACTGCAGGGTCTGGACTATGAGGCATGGATAGAGGAGACAGCCCAGGCGAGAGTCCGCTGGGCTTCCAGACTCCCCAGAGCTGCCAGCAGAGGCCTGACTTACTGGGATGTTCAAGACCTGGCCCTAGAGACCTGAACATAGCTTTCCGGAGGCTATGAAAGAACACACCAGTAGCTTCCCTGAGTATTGGAGCACTTTCTGGGTACCATGCTGGTCCGAGGTCTCGGGTTCTGCCCCTGCCCAAGATCCAGAAAAGATGTTTTTCTTGGGAAGTAAATGGGTGGTAAAGGCCCTCCCCCATCAAGAGCTTCAGTGGAGGCTGCTGAGGGGGGCCTGTCATCAAGAGAGGGCCCCAGCTCCTCTCGGAGTGCCAATGACAGGAGGAGAGGCCGTGAGGCCTGAGAAGGGAGAAAAGAAGAGCACAGGAATTTGTCTCTGTCCATCTGTACCCCAGGACCTGGGCCTTCTCCACCCATGCTGTAGACCTTGTGAAGGTTTTACCCTTTACCTTTCAGGTGAGTTCTTGGTATTTTGAAAACCACTGGAAAGAGCTATACCCTGGAGCTACAGGAAATCTCTAGTCTATTTTGGAGGAGCCAGCCCCGAGGAAGAAGAGCCAAGACCCACAGAGGCCTGTCGCCCAGCCTCATCTAGAGGCACCCGGACACAGCTGTTCCTGAAGCGCACTCCTCTTTCTGACTTCTGAACCAATTTCTGCCACAACCAACAAGGTCAAATATGCCCTCTAAGTGAGGAGTTGGGGCCACAGGCTCCATCCTGACAAAGAGGCCCTGGTACCACTTTTCTCCAACGTTTCTTGCATTTGTTTTCTCCCACAGAAACCTTATCTCACAGGAACATCTATTAGTCTGTGGGGAAAATGAACTTTGGCAAGTGTCCACCAGGGGTTGCAAAGTCCCTCCTTGGAGACTTGTCAGCTAAATTGGAGCAGCATGGCCATCCTGCCCTTCCTCCTGGCATGGACAGCCTACCCTACCAGCAGCACCTGGGCCTCCCTGCCTACAGGTCACCAGATTTCTCTAACACTCAGCAGAGGAGAGGCCTTGGTTCTGGGAACTGGACAAGGCTTCAAGTTCCCCAAGGGCACAGCCTGAGCACCAGCCAGGTACAGGCAAGCTGTAAGGATCACGAGCTAAAAGGAAAAGTGCAGTGGGGCTTGTGAGCCCAGCCAGAGCAGACTCGATCCACCTGCTCTTCACGGGGTAGGGATTGGGTTCCTGTCCCTTTAATGCCACAGTGCCTAGCACAGAGCTAGGGCACAGAATGGCCTGAGTCCATGTTATCTGCTCAGAAGGATCTAGGTTGTGGGCTTCCTCTACTTTAAGGATATGCTCCTCTGTTTTTACCTGTTGAGGGCCTGCAATTCATCCCACCTAGTCAGAGTTAGAGCCTCAGCTCCCGGAGCCTAGGGTGACGGTGGGTCTTAGGTGCTGGCTACTGGAACCCTGGCCTGGGTTGGTGACTGTAGGGACCCCCATCAACCTGTGCCTCTGGGCCTTTTCATCTGCTGCTCCTCCACAGTAGACTGGAGTCTGAGTCTAAGTGACAGTTACCTTGATCTCTGTGCCCAAAAGCAAGTCTGTGGCTCTTCCCAGCCCCAACTTTACCAGCACAATGACAGGCTGGCAGACGTTAGCCAGGGCCATACGAGTTTCATATACTTACTACGCTTGTGCTCCATCCTTAGTTCCAGGGGGTGAAGGGTCTGAGGGCATCTGGCTCCACCTCCTCCCGTGTCCCCACTTGGTCCTTTGACCTCAGGGCTGGCTGAGGCCAGTTCCCAAAGGACAATGCCTCAGAGTAGTGCCCTAGGCAGCCTCCTGGAACAGCCCGGGAGCTTACAGGAAGGAAGGTAGGTGGGGAGAGGCAGAGATGAGCTGCTTTGAGGAAACAAAGAAGTTCTAAAATTGTGATGGTCACACAGCCCTGCAACCCTGACTGGAAGTGCTCAACTGCATAAAGTGTGTAAGCCATCTCTCTCTGTAGGGGGAACTGTGGATTAATATCACAGTCGGGGAGAGGGCTCCACTCTCCAGGAGCCGAGGCTGGCAGACTCGGTGCTTGGCATGGGCTCTGTGGAAGATTCTGATGCTTTTCTTGGCAGAAACCCAGCTGAAGGGGTTTGGATGCCCCAGGCCTGCCTGCTCTGAGCCAGGGTAAGTGGCCTTGCCATATCTGCTTGAGACCCAGGAAATCTGCCATGCACTTGCCCTCTTCTCCCAAAGCCTGCCTCTCTCCAGGGCACGGGAGTTTCCTCGCCAGGCCTCCGAGGTGGGGAATGAAGGGGTGGGTCTGCAACTGCCCCCTCTAGCAGGGGCCCACAAAGGCCTGTGAAAGGCCTGTGGCACTGGTCTTGTGGCACAGGCTTTCAATCCCAGTGCTTGGGAAGCAGAGGCCAGAGGATCTCTGGGTTCAAGGCCAGCCTGGGCTACAAAGTAAGACCATATCTCAAAACATGAAGTAAAGTTAAAAGGCAGGTGGGAGATGGAGAGATGGCCCAGTGGCTGAAGAGCACACACTGCTTTTGCAGAGAACTAGGGTTTGGTCCCCAGCACCCACGCTGGGTGGCCCACAACCACTTTAACTCCAGCCCTCTCCTGGCCTCTGTGGGCACCTGAACCAATAAGTGCACATATCCACACTCAGATAACACACACAAACACATAATTTAAAAATATAATTTTTTTTTTTGAAGAAGTCAACTTTCAGGCCCTTCGGATGCTCAGGCCGATTCAGACATCACACAGGAATGGCTGGTTCAACTATTTATTGTGGCGTACTTTACATGCAAGAACACAGATTAGAGAGACAGGATTTGGAAGCAGAACCAGTGGGTGGGGAGACACACTAGTTGTCACACCTGAGCCACCCTCCAGAACCAGCTCTACCCACAGAAACAGGACAGAGACAAGACTCCGACTCGTAAGACAACAGGAGAACAAACTCAACACCGTCTTTTCAGCAGCCCGAGGACCCTCAGGTCCTCACAGATGAAGTGCAAACTTGAGGAGCAAACACGACCCCTGCTCTCCCAGAGAGCCTGGGGCGTGAGTACGGCAGGATCGGTCAGAACACGGGGTTGACAGCTGTTCTTGGGGACTAGGGGCAACCTAGCCTAGACCTCCATGAACAAGAAGGGCTGGGGATGGGCACTGGGCTAGGCAGGTACCACGGAGCCACAGAGGGAGGACCTCCGAGTGGCTGAGCACACAGGGAAGCCCCAGCATCCCAACAGCCGACCATAGAGAGGCTGTGGATTGCCTGGGCGGGAACCCAGGCTCTCATGATGCTCTCCCAGCCACCTAGGGCTGACGTGGCCCCCAGAGTGCCCTGAGCCATCTGAGACCATCCGTCAGGGGACCGTGGCCAGGAAAGTCTGTGGTGGAACGAAGGAACCCACTGCCATCAGGCCACCGAGGGTCCGGCCACCACTTTCCCGGCTGAGCGGTGCTGTGGGTGACAGCAGGGGCCAGGTGGGGAGGACAAGAGTAGTGAGCCAAGGCACAGCCACTCACACTGAGGGGCTGACAGGAAAATGGAAGCCAGCTCTGGCCACAGCCACCAAGAAGCCCTTTTGGCTCTGAAACCCCATGTCCCATGTACAGTAAATGAGTTAGTCAGTCTCGGCCCAACTCACAGGGTCAAACTCCACCTGGTGACTTCCCTCCACGGCTGCCTGATGGCCAAAAAGGTAGGAAGAAGCAGTCTTCACACTTCAGCACACAATGAACAAGAAAAGGTTAAACACATCCTCAAGAAAATATTTTGACAAAATAAATATTTTAACCTATAATCAGGTGTAATTAGTGCTTATGAGTCCCGGCAATAATTTAGTGTAATTAAGTACATACTCTATCTGTGATTTCTAACACTTGTAGAGGCTGCTGGCTTGAGAGGGCCCAGCGTCTAAGGGTTTGGCCCACAGATGGTAGGGAACCAGAGGCCTCAGGACAGGACAGTCCACAGAGCTGAACCCCCTTCGGGACCCCCAGGCCCATCTTGCTTCTCATAAAGGCCCCAGGCCCATGTCACTTCAGCCCACAGATAAGGCAGGCAGACTACCTCTAGACAAGATATGACGACTACAGAGCAAACCACCAGCTGGGCTGGTCCCAGCCAGAAAGGTGTTCTCTTGGCAGCCTGGGGGAGTCCTTGACCTCTCTAAGCCATACCTAGCAGCTGCAGTCAGGAGGATAGGGGACAGCTCTGGACATTGGTACTAGAAACAACCATGTTGGGAACCCCCAAGGTAGGCCCCCACATCAGTCTCTCTCCCTGATGGAGGCCCATCTTCCTCTCTACATCATCCACAAGCAGGGGGCAGCCTCTTAATTCAGAGATGCTGGCCTGATTGCCTACTGCCCACAGGCCCTTCTCTTTAGACTATATACAGCTGATCCTCAGACAATCCTTTTGGACTGTGCCAAAGGCCAAGCTTCCAGGTATACTGGGCTCCCCAGTCTCCTCTGGTGTGATAAGCCTTCAGAGGCCTTAACAACCAGGCTAGCCTTAGAGTGCTCTGCCCTTAAGAAACACTGATGAGAAGTTCCGCTTGGCAGGGTGTGAGTGGAGTGTGGAGGTATGGCAGATGCTCAGAGAGAGCCGGGCAGTTAGCAGGTCAGCATGACATCCTCCACAGGTCCTGTCAGATGAACCCTAGCCAGACCTTCCGGAGACTGCTGAAGGAGAGGTGCTGGGTTGGGCGAGGGGTCCTGGGACAGGCCACTTCTGTTCTCACCCAGGGCTGCGGTCCCACCCTAAGAGCTGCCCAGAACCTGTGCACTGACCCCTCTGCAAGTGGATCCTTGCAGCCTCCTCTCCCTGCTGGGGCTGGCGCCTGGGTGGCCAGGTGTAGCAGTGGCCATCCTAACGGTGGGCAAGGCTGACCCCGGGGTGGGTGGGACTGTGTGGGGCCTGCGCGTATATAGCAATAGAGCTGCAGGAGCATCTTCCTTTTCTAGGCAACAGCAGCTAGACCAGGGTTAAGGGAGCACTGGGTCGCCTGCTCAGCGCCAGGACACAAAGCAGCCAAGACAAGGGCAGGAGCAGGCATCACCGGCTCTTGCTTGCTCAGATGCAGGCTGTCAGGCTTCAGACTGAAACTGTTGGCCGGGGTGAGGTGAGGTGGGGGGGTGGCAGATCAAGTGGGGACAGCCATGAAGGCTGAGGCTGTGTCAGGGAGGAGAGGAGAGTGGAGTATGGCTCCAGCCTAATGTGGCTCCTGGTCATCTGGGGCCTCCATGCCCAGCACACAGCTACCTGCTGCTGGCCTGGAGGTAGCTGTGTGGAGGTGGCTGAAGGCGAAGCCAAGTCACGGGATACACTGAAGTCATGTTGCTTCAGCAAACAACCCTCTCTAGCCATCAGGGCCAATGTGGGTGTGTAGGGCGTGCATAGAGTAAGCCATGTACCATCCACAGGGCACGTGCTGCCCTTGGCCATCCTCAGACCAAGAGCTGCAGGTCCTTGTCTTGGTCCCAGGCCTGGCAGCTGACTGATGGAGAAAGGGCCAGGGACATGAGGGATCTTTAAGGTAGTGGCCCCTGGAGCCCACTCAGGTACAAACACGTCCAGTGCCCACACCGTCCAGGGAGAGAGACTGAGCTGTGGTTACAAACACTTGAGCCCTGCTTCCCAGAGTCCTTGATGGAAGGAGAGGGCCCCAGGGAGCAGAGTGTCTCACCTAAGGAAGCCATGGAGCTGGGCGGAAGCAGAAGGGGTAGTGAGAGAGTCAGTTCAGGACCTCTGCTCAGAAAGTGTCAAGGGGCTACCCTGCCTGGGGCTGGACCACTGCTTCTTCCTGGTTAGACCCAAGGCCAGGAGAGCCCTTGGGGTGAGGGAGGACAGGCCTTCTGGTCAGTGCTGTTGCCACCCAGAGAACAGGTGGCAAGGTGGGCCCTGACCAGGGAGACCTGGGAGCAAACAGTGGCATTTCCATGGGGATACAGGTGTGCAGGCTGAGGGGCTGGGGAGTGGCCAGTGCCCAGTGTCCACCGGGAGAGTCAGCAGTGACCTGCCGTGGGAAGGCAGACCACAGGACAGCTCACAGGGCAAAGAGGGCATCCTCAGACCGCTCTGGCTTCTTCCGGTTGGAAGCACTTGAGGCTGGTGCAGGAGCCTCTGTGGGAGGTGAGGGCAGATCTGGAACCGTTTCTGCAGCCTTGGCTCGCTCTTCCAGGAACTTATCGAACTCTACAATACAAACCAAATGGAGGGATAGACTTGGTGAGGGTCACTTGGCTGGAGCCCCACACCCTGGTTTCCAGCTCCAGCTAGGACCAACGTTGGCCTGGCTGCCCTTCAGCAGGAGGTACATGCACATGGGGTGGGGGTGGGGAGTGGAGGTTGGGAAGGGTGTGTTGGCAGGAGAGCAACCAGGCAGATCCAGGTTATTCTGGGCCCTCCTGGTCTGGGGCCAGCCGAAGAGAAGTCACTATTCCTGACTCTCCGCACGCAGAGCTGGTGGAAGCTGCATTGGGGCATGTGGGTGGGGAGGACCCTATATATTGCTGTGGGACCCATGATGGGGAAGGATCTGACACCCAGTCTCTTCAGAGAAAGGCTCTGGAAAAACAGTGGGCGCAGAGCACCTGCCCTCCGAGAGCTCAGAGCTCTGTCCTCCTGGTCAGCACAGGGCAGGGCAGAGTGGGCCAGCACCTGCGGACACACAGGCCCACCCTCACTGACCTAAGGAAGATGCTGAAGGGAGGCTGCAGAAGGCAGCCACTCAGCACAGAGGGCGGGTCCTTGGACTGGCCCTTGTCACAGGGTCTGGAAGAATCCGGGGGTGAGGGGCAGCATGGGTGAGGTGCGGCGTGTAAGATGGAGAGGAGGTAATGTCGGAGGGAAGAGGGCGGGAGCCTTGTTGGAAAACTAGGTCCATGTTCCCACCTGACCATCAGCTGAGGCCCAGATGCCCAAGAGGGCCCTGCACACTCTGTGCACTGTGTGATCTGTGTCTGTGGGGGACTTAGGACCTGGGCAGAAGCTAGGATAGTAATCTGTGCCCTCTAGTCACCCTCTTCGTGACCTCTACATGCTCTTCCCAGTCTGTTTTGCCCTAAAGGAAATGAGAGAAATGGCACTGTCTCCATCAGCATGAGTCTCCATGAAGGCTAGGGCTCATCCCCACGAAGGCTAGGGCTCATCCCCATGAAGGCTGGGGCGCATCCCCATGAAGGCTGGGGCTCATCCCCACGAAGGCTGGGGTGCAGGCCCAGCAACACACGGATCTAGCAGCAGAGGCTTCAGGGTGCCGGGCCACTCCCTGTGTAGCCCTGAGAGTCAGGAGCGAGAGAACAGACGGGCTGTAAGGCCACTGGCCAGGCCTACCTTCACTTGTGACCCCCTCTTCCAGGTCATCACCCTTCTGTGGACAGAGCAGAGAACGGCATTAGGGCTCATCCCTGTCTTGCCCACCCCACCACTTCTGTCCACCCACGGCTACCCAAGTGAAGTTCTACTTTTCCTGTTTCCAGATTCTCTTCTTCCTATTAGAGAGGCAGAGAGTGTGCTTAAAAAATAAAAAGAAAATGTTAAAAAAAAAAAAAAAAAAAAAAAAAAAAAAAAAAAAAAAAAAAAAAAGCAAAACACAAAGGTTCTAGGTTTTGATGTCCTAGAAGGACAAGAAAGAAAAATCCAAAATTGGTGCAGGCTGGTCCCTACCTGGGCCAGAGGGGAGACTCCGCCCATCAATACCAGGCTCTGAGGAGAGCTGCCATTGTCACATGAGGCTGAGGCAATCCATGCTGCCAGCAGAGGGGTTCTGGAAAGATGCCATCCGCACCAACAGCTAGGAGCTGCCTGGGGCCTGGATGGCCTGGCCTGATCTCTAGCAGGTCCTTCGGCAGTGGGATCTGTCACCTAGAGACATGCCCCACAGCCTCCCAGGAGCTCTAATTGCCTTCCCCTAGACCTAAGCTCCCATTCTTGCTGTCTAAAGGGGCCATGGAGATGCTGAGCATCTCTGTCATTTATGTGGACCACACTTGATTAGAGAGGAGCTTAGACATAGGCCACACTGGGAAAGGACCCATGCTGGAGTGAAAAGTCACCAGCAGGGCTCAGCAACCTGGGCTTCTCCTGACCTATCACTGCCTTGTGAGAGCCTTGCTACCAAATCCTTTCTGGATCTTGTCTCTTCAGGGTCTCATGGCGCCAGGCTGGCCTTGCACCTTACTGCCTCCACTTCCCAAATGCTGGGATTACAGGTGGGTGACATCATGCCTAGTCTGGGAGAGAGCCTGAGAGTTTCCGTTCCCGCCTCTGTGAGGGACATATTTCTTTCTAGGCTCCCCTGGAAAGATCGCAGGGGTGCTCTTTCAACCTTCCCTGCTACGCAGGTGGCTGCCTCCTGGGGAAGAGGCAATGTTAGCCTCTTTCGTGGAGGAGATGTCACAGGAAACCTGTAGCCACCACTGAATCCCTCCTACACCCAGCGGCTGTGAATGAAGTACTCTGTAAGGAGAGGGAATTGACTGAGGCCATCTTCAGACACGTGACCTTCTCAGTCTCTCAGCCATCCCAGATGGACGAACCTTCTCTCAGAGCAGGAGCTCTTTTCAACAAATACTAGAGGATGGTGGGAATGGGGATGACGGTGAATGTAAAACCAAGCATCTAACTCATTTGTGAAAAAAGGAAAAAAAAGAAATGAAGATGTTGGGATGCAGCGCTTGCCCACTAGCATGCACAATGCCATGAATTCAATCCCCAACAAAGGGGCAAAAAAAGAAAGAGAACAAACCAAAACCAACACACAAAAATATCTTCCTCCCTCAAAACAAAAAGCAAAAAGAAACAGAAACAAACAAGTAGGAAAACCCCTCAAACACACACCTTTGGCCTTTAAGAGAAATGGGGAGGGGTTGGCGCGTGTCAGGAGTGGCTAGAGATGGGCTCTCTAGTTTGCACAGATGTGACACATCTGTTCGGGGCTGTGTGGCTGAGAGGCCGTGCCTAGAGCCAGCCCCACCAGAGTCCACATGTTAGAAAGGAAGGTGAGCTTTACCCCCTCCCTCCTCCAGCCCCCCCTGGTGGAGGTGGAGCCCCCGCCACAAGCCCCAAGGCCTGTCCTCAGAACATCTGCCTTGCCACAACCCCCACACAAAATGCAGAAGTCAAGTCTCACCAGGTCTGTCCTGAGCCACACCTCAATGTCGTCCATGACAGAGGGCTGCGCAACTGGGATCTATGAAGGCAGAGGCGGCAAGCAGCGGGGTCAGGCAGGCCCCCACACAGCCAGGCAAAGGAAGACAACACACCAAAACAAAGTAAATCATCAAAAGTAACCCCCAAACAAAACCAAAATGTACACAGAGCAAAACAACCACATGGCACGCACAGGCAACACAGGCAGCTAGCTCCATGTGAAATGGCAGATGAGGAGAGCAGTGAGGTGGTAATTAGAAGAAGCAGGCTGGTCAGCAGGGGGTGGGGGCAGGGAAGTACGCGTTCTTGATATGGATAACTTTTGCTTGTGTCTGTTCGCCTTTCCAGGCCAGGGCTGCAAAGCACTCCCTGGTCTCAAGAAGTCACTAGTTCTGCAGCAGCCATGATGGGAGAATCCGCTGCCCTCGGTGAAGGCCACCTCAGGCCAAGATGGTGGGCCGCGGGGAAGCCGAGCAGAACCAGAGCAGAACCAGGCCTCAAGCAGGCCACAGGGCGCTCAGGAGGGCAGTTCAGCCCCAGGCCTCTGTCTGCTTAGTGAGGTGGCTTTCTGAGTGGGAGAAGGAGCCAGAGGCACGTGCTCCCCTGGTCTGGGAGTGCCCTGCTTCCAGAAAGCAGGCACACTCTACCATTAAAGGAAACACAGCTCAAAAACGAGGCTTTGAAGACAAAGAAGGACAGAGGCTTTAGTCCTCTCTCTCTCCTTTGAGGAAAAAATATCACTAGTAGCCCCGAATGCCACAGCTTCCTTTGGTCTCATCCTTTCCTCCTGCCTCTCAGCAGCTGTCTGAGCTTTAGTAGTTGAGAAAACTAGTCCACTGTGGGCTGGGGAGCAGGATGCCTAGGCTGTGACAGGGCTCCCCAGCAACCTCATGGGTACTGGAGAAGGTGCCATGCGTTGGTCTGAGGCAAGGGCCTCGAGCAGAGATTCTGAAAAATATGTGCAACTAAAACCATTTCTGTTGCCATCAGATAAGAAGTGAAGGTGGCCTTTAAACTCCTAGAAGCCACCTTAATAAAAGGCTGGCTCCCTGCCTAGACAACCGAGAGGATCGCCTTTAGTCAGGGCAACCTGCCTCTTCACCTACCCTGGACTGAGTGGTGCTCCGCCTGGGAGCCTTGCTAATTAGCCCACTATTTCCAGAAAAAAAGAAACGACAGTGTGGTGTCCATAGCTGGCTACACTCTAATGTCATCATCTAGAGTAAGAATGAACTTTAAATAGGCAATAAGAAGACTCAGTTGAAGTAATTTTAAAAAAGCTTCCAAAATAACCCAAAAAGCCCAACCTGAAAAGGAAGAGAACAAAGAATTCACATTGTCGGCTCCTGTTTTGGAGGCTGAAATCTGTTGCCAAAAAGGTGTGGCTCCTGCACATGCTGAGCAGATGTCTGCAGCACCTCCCAGAGCAAGCTGGTGACCCCCAGCTCTGAGCACGTGCTCTGTGCCCCATCCTCACCCTGCCATGGGCAGGCACACAAGCATTTTCAGACTAGCTCACACTGTCTCTCTCTGCCACCATTTTAACCCCCAGACATTTCAAACTGTCAAAGTGGATAATATTTCAGGGAGTTCTTACACCATGATGTGAGTCCTGGTGACAAAGCAGATGATCATTCACTCAGGGTGAGAGCAAGGATGCTCAAGGGCTGTGCCTACAGTGCCCATGGCAGATGCCCGCCTTACCCATCAAAGAACGCTGGGCCACGGTAGGTGCAATTGCTATCTCATGACAGCGGGTGTCATGACAGCGGGCGGGCCTGCTACCTTGACGGACTCCTGGAAAGGATGTGCTGCTTTCATGATCTTGATATATCTATCAATCACAATGTCTGACTTGTTGAGGGCGTGTGCCATGCCTAGTCCCCAGCTCAGAAAGTCAGCCATTTCTCCAATGAGAAATGCCATCCATGGCAGCTGCTAGGGTGCACGTGGGCACTTTTTGCCTTATCCAACTCAGTCCACCTAGAAGAAACTGAGAGTCCACGTCTGTGAGCTTTCTTTCCGCAGTGTTGGGTGGAGCACAGGCCCTCCCTAGGAGGGCTGAACACTCTTCACTGGGTTGCTAGTTTTAAAGGGCCAGAAGCCTAATTAGACATTCCATTTTTTCTTATAATTCTTTTTATTATTGTCAAAAAGTAGAGGGCTAGGCTGAGCTGGTGGTGGCACATGCCTTTAATCCCAGCACTTGGGAGGCAGAGGCAGGCGGATCGCTGTGAGTCTGAGGCCAGCCTGGTCTATATAATGAGTTCCAGGACAGCCAGAGCTATGTAGAGAGACTCTTTAAAAAAAAAGGCAGAGGCCTAGAGGTATAATTCAGGAGTGCTTGCCTACCATATGTGAAGCTTTTGGGTTTATCCACATCATAAAAATCTGCCAACAGCTGAACACTGCCCTGCAGTGGCAGCAAAGCAAGACAAGTGGCCCCACCTGGACCACACTGCCTGGGGCGAGTCACTTCCCTCCCCATAGGGAAGCCAGCCTGGGGCAAGTCACTTCCCTTCCTATAGGGAAGCCAGCCTCTTCCTCTTAGAAGCCTCAGCCATGTGGGCAGGTGAAGGAGTTTCAGCAGGCTCAGGCTCCATGTCCTCGTCTGTGAACAGGTGATTGCAATGTGGCATTTTGAGTCTAACACTAACATTGTAAATCAGGATCCCTCATCTTCCAGGTTTGTGTTTCTGTGTTCTAATGTCTGGTTGCTGGAACTGAGTCTCTCGGGCCTCAGGGCATGTTCTGAGGAGTTCGGATGCTACTTCTCAGCTAGGCTTATGTGCTGGAAGGCAGGTGGCTGGATGCAGAAACACAGCTATGAACCAGCTCTGGGAAGCAGGCAGAGTATCCCTCTCACCACATAGGCACACCAAGACCCAGACTCAACATGTACACTGCCTGGAAAATATGGCCTGCAGAGGCTCAGAAAGAGGGAGAAACAGATCCCTCTCTTGCTGATAGAGGGAAGGGAGCATGGCAGGGAGTCTTGGTGTGTCTATGCCATGTGGCTTTGAGCAAGTCAGCAGGCCTTTGGGGGCCTTAACATCCGTTACGTGCCACATTAGTGGCTTATCCAGCAGATAGATCCCTAGGAAGCTTTTGGCTGTTTTGCCATGGTTTTAGCATCTTCTTGGACACTGATCCAAGCTGAAGGCTGTTACAGGAGGTTGAAGACTGATGAGGGAGACAGAGGAAGAATGGGTATGAAGAGAAGGGAATCTACCCAGAACACCCTCCCATAGAGACCAAGGCCAAATGCTGCCTCAGGTGAAAAGGGCAGCCAGGCTGGCAGGGTGGGGTCTTGGTGACAGCACTCAGTCCATCTTATGGGTCCCAAGAGATTCAGGCATCTCTAATGCCAGGGTGGTGGGCAGAAGTCCTGTTGCTGGCATCTGTGAGCCGCTCCACCTTAGGGAAGGGGTGAGGTGCTGCCACGGGCTCCAGCCAGTTCTTTGTTTTTGCCTTTGGTGTGCTGTCTGGGAGTCTGCCAATGATTGAGTGGGGATAACTAGCATTAACCTCTGACAGCAGGAGGCTTTTTTTTTTTTTTTTTACTAATATGTTTTTATTTTTCATCGTGTGTGTGTGTGTGTGTGTGTGTGTGTGTGTGTGTGTGTGTGTGTATCTGTCTATCAATGTTAGGGGTATGTTCATGTAAGTGCAGATGCTCATGGAGGCCAGAAGAGGGCATCAGATTCTCTGGAGCTGTAGTTACAGGCCATTGTGAGCTGTCCAGCGTGGGTGCTGGGAACTGAGCTCGGGTTCTCTACAGGAGCAGTGTGTGCTTTTAACTGCTGAACCAACTCTCCAGCCTATCTTCTGTAGCCCATTGCTGCTGTTCTTCCCTGGCCTGCACCTTTGGTGTTGGGGTCAACACAGGACCTCACGGTTACTGCTTCTGCTTTGACACTACTGTTGTTGTTGTCATGGTTATCACTATTTATGTGTGTGTGTGTGAGGCAGGGTCCATTATTCAGCTTAGGCTGGTTCATACCAGGAGCCTCCTGTCTCAGCCTGCCCAGTGCTAAGACCAGAGGCATGCTTTATCATACCCAGCTTTCATTCTCTGAATTTCCTTGCTCATACCCTGGAAATGGGAGAGGGTCCTAACTGATCACCAGCCAAAAGTAGCAGAGAAGACCCGAGGACCAGGGAGGGAGAGAGGGGAAGGTCGCTGACCCTGGGCTCAAGCCGGATCTTGCTTACTTTCACCTGCCAATGCCCCTGGGGTAGTGACCTAACTGTGCAGGCTGCTCTCATACCTCAAGTCCCAGCAGAGGAAGAAGGAGCAGGCACTCTTCCACAGTTGTCCCCAGCTCCAGGCACACAAGGAGACCTACCTGCCCAACAGTGCAAGTCTGCACTGGGTGCTATCTCTAGAGCTGTGTAACTTTCACCCAAACCCAACGGAAGAGCTATTCTAAAGCCCTGGTCTCACTCGGTAGTTCACAAAGTTTCCATATGAAGAATCTGTACTTGACAGGTTGGGAAGGGTAGGACGTCTGTACTATGGGGAACAAGGCAAAGCAGCTAACACACATTGTTTTAAAAGGAAAACAAACTAGGCAGGAAGGTGAGGTACCAGTTCGGCTGTTAGTTGGGCTTGTTTCTGGGAAGTTGAAGACTGGCGCTCTACATGGGGACAGGGAAGGGGAGAGGCGGCTTGTGTGGACAAAGACAGGCAGCGTCACCAGCTGCCCAGGTCACACTCAGGTAGTCTGGAGGGCAGTATCCTTTTTTGCAGGGCTAATGGGCACAGGGCACACAGCTAGCATGTCTCTATTTGGACAATGGAGATAGAATTTTAGGAAGAAAATGAAGGGCCTGGCCAGCCCACACTTGCAACAACAACTGCTTTCTCACTGAGGGCAAGTGTGTACTGCTGTGGGAGTGGGGCAGTTGACCACCTGCTGCCCTGGTCTCCAGACCCTGTCTGTACCCATGGCTTAAGCCTTCCTCAAGCAGGTGGCCCTTGTCCTGCAAGCAGCTTGGCCCTTGTCCTGCAAGCAGCTTGTCACTTGGAAGTCTTACATGGACACCTGCCATCTGGTCCCCTCTCCTGGCCGGACATCAAGAGCTAGTTCTACATTTGGCTTACTGCATTTATCTGGAGGGCAGAGGTCCACATGTCTATTTCTGTCATTACTTTGTATCCTCTCCTGCTCCATCCCTACCACAAGCACCTAGAGGTTTGATTCTGTACTTGGGGATGAGGGGATCAACCTGAGGCTAGTAGCTTGGGACCCTCTCTCCATGGACCCAACCCAGGGCCACCTGCACAGATATGATGGGAAAGAAAGCCTCTGTGCCACCGAGAGTGGACTGAAGGTGTGATATAAACTCTCCCAGCTCTGTCTTCTTCTGACTCTGTTACCATCATCTGTACATTTTATATAAGAGATCTCAAGGCCATTTGTGAGGCTATTATATTATAAAAGCCCGCCAAGCCTAGGACCGCCAAAATCCCAGGCACAGCTAAGAGGGAGCGTCTCTGACTGATCACATGCTGAGCCCTCTCATAATGCTCCCCTCCCAAGTACAAGCTACGATTACTTGTACTCATCCTGGAAAAATGAATACTGCCAAGAACTCCGGAGTCTGTGAGGGAAGGGAAAGGCCCTCCCCTCACGCCTGCAAACGTCCCAGTCCACGAAGATCCGGGAGCTCAGGCTCAGGAAAATGCCAGGGAAGGTGTTTCCAGAGCTGGAAGTCCGGGGCCACACAGAGACTCCATGTAGACAAGATTGGTACCCTCAGAACAAGTGGGTGACCTCTGTCCTGTCTGGTCACAAGGACTGGGCAGGTGGCAAGAGGAAGGCGGCGCTGACTGTTACGCAGTAAGGGGCTGGGGTGGGCAGCGAGCTCATTCAGCTCTGGCTCCTCCTCACCATTCCTTGGGTCATGAGCCAGCTGTCTATGGGCTGCAGGTCAGAGTCCCCACCTTTCCCTCTCCGCTGGGCCAAGGACAGAAAAGTCCCAAAAAGAAAAGTCACAGCAATACTCAAGACAGGAAGTCACAGCACATATTGTAAATAGAAACGTCATTGTTCAGATTTCGTTGCCACACAAGGAAATGTGATCTGACCCTTCCCACCTGCCCTAGCATACCCCTCACTACCTACCTGGAAAAGAGAAGGAAAACCCAATAACCATGACCCTAGGCTGGATAACAAAATATTCAACATCTGGAGGCTTCAGTAAAGCCTGGGAGGTCACCCAGGCCTAATTCTCTTGATACAGTGAAAGTGTTTCTACTTTTTTCTAACTTACTCTGCTTTTTTTCTTTGTCTTTTTTTTCTCCATTCTAGTTGCCCATGTATCTTCTCTTAAATTCTTGACTTGAATGCTGAACTCAGCATATTCTTTATTTTCTTCTTCTTTTTTTTTTTGTTTATAGTTATTGTTTTGTTTTGTTTTTCAAAACAGGGTTTCTCTGTGTAACAGCCCTGGTTGTCCTGGAACTCACTCTGTAGATCAGGCTGGCCCCGAACTCACAGAGATTGGCCTGCCTCTGCTCCCGAATGCTGGGATTAAAGGCGTGTGCCATCATCACCCCTTTATTGCCTTATGTTTCCGTGTTTGTTTATCTGTAGTGCTGCTGCTGGTCCCAGAGCACTGGGCACACTAGATAGGTGAGCTACACCCACAGACCTCCTGCTTTAGATAGATTTTGTATGTGCACGAGTGTATGGACACTGGCACACACATGCCACTATGCAGTGGAGTCAGAAGGCAGCTTGGAGGAGTCAGTTCTCTCTCCCCACCTTGTGGTTCTGAGGATGGAACCCAGGCTGGCAAGTGCCTTTACCTGCTGAGTCATCCAGCCAGCCCTCTCCTGCTTCTTCAAATCATGACTCCAGAGGTGGGATCTTACTTGCAGAGGTGAGGCTACACAACCTTCTCTATTTTCTTCTCAGTTCCAGGACAGCATGGCCCATGAAGGGTCAAGACAGCCTGCAGATGTGTTCACACACAGAGACACACATGACCATCCCATGTCCTGCCAGTCTTTCTTGCTGAGGCCAGTCCTTGCCCCAGTAACAACAAGAACAGCAATCTGCCTCCTATCATTGGTAAATCTGCTGGAATCAGCAAGACCTTTGAAAACAGGGAGCCAGGCCAAGCCACGCATTCAAAGGGTGAGAAGTCGGCCACGTCTCCTGGACTTGGACCCAGGCCTGGGCACTGATAATGGCATGAGTTGGAGCAGGACACACGCTGGCCCGATGGGGCAAGCCCTTGGTTCAGTGTGGAGAGCAAAGAGCCGGGCTGAGAGACGAGGCTGCTCCAGATTGGGGTGAGCCAGGAGGAGGGTCATCCTTGTCTTCACTAGGCAGTACACTGGCAGGCCCCTGGCCTGGCTCTCTAATCCCTTGCTGGGTCCAATGCAGAGATAGTTTAAGTAATGGGAAAAAGAACAGAGACTACTGTGTAGATAGTGAACGTCACTGTGGGCCACCACTGTGTAATGGCAGGGTGCTAAAATCTCTTCTGCACCCCCTAGCAGTCAGTATAGGGGGGGCATATGCCAGCTCAGAAGAGAAGTCTCCACCCTCAAGACCAAGCTTTTCCATTATGCCAGGCAGCCATCATACTGTCCCCCACCAGTCCTTTGCATAGGGCCCACAGGAGGCTAAGATCTGGTGTTCAGGAAGCAAAGGGCCCTTCCTTGTCCAGTGGATGGGTGGGCACAGCCCCCTTTCATTACAGCCCAGGGGCTCCTGGGCGCCCTCTTCCACCTTGCCAGGTAGACAGGCATACATTCCTGTCCATTTCCTGGTTGGGCTCAAAAGAGAAATAGCTGCAAACGTGTATTAAATGCACAAGTTCTTCTGAAGTTTTCCATAAACTGGCTGTGGTTTGGGGCTCACACAGATTGCAACCTTTATTTTAAAACGTTCTGACTCCCGGCTTGACTCTTTCCAAGCCCAGAGTGTCACAGGACACTCTCCAAGCCACCTCACAAACAAGTCCTGACCCTCAACTGCCTTCCCCTGGAACTGGTACTACTTGGCTAGGCTGGCAGCCAGGTGGCTTAGTTCAGCATTTACTTCCCTTGTGTGTGTGTGGGGGGTCATCATTTTATCAGTGCACTGCCCACCACCCAGAGGTGCTCTCTGGTGTCCTCCCCAGGCTGTCTCAGCCATCTATACAAGCCAACTTCTGCTGAATTATTCAGCCAACTTTACCAAACTGTCTGTTTTTATCTCCAGAAGACTATGGGCAAAAACCAGGCTTGAGGACCTACCATTTCTGAGCTCTGTTTCCGATTGTCTAGAGCAGAAGCGAGTCCTCCAACAGCCTGTGGATCCTCATAGGTGACCCTGGGGAAAAGCAGTGGAATGAGTTCTCTCCCAGTGGTACCTGCCTTGGGTGTGACCTTGGCCTGGGGCAGAAGCTAAGGACCAGAGTCATTCCTCTTAGACCTGAGATACCATACTTTTCAAAAACCCCTGCCCTGAGTAACAAGAGTAAAGCCGAAGAGAAAGATGTCAAAGTGTTCAGGAAGTCCTCAAGGGAAAAGGCTTCATAAAGCCCAGGAGTGATTTTACAAGCATCAGCCTCTCTGCTGCCCCGAGTGGATGGTATGCTATTTCCAGATGAAGGGGCTATCTGCTTTGGAGTCAGCTCTCCCATTTCTGATTGGCTCCTTTTGCCCCAGCTGCTGTGGAGAAGCCTCTGTCCTGACCTTTTTTTTTTTTTTCAATTGGTTGGATGCTGGAGTAGGTCTGGTTGCCTGCTTGCAGGGGAGGGACTAAATGAAGCGGGGTCTGTGGTGTGGCAGACAGCTTAGGGAAGCAGGATTTCTCATCAGCTCTGAGGGGGATGTAGGAAAGGGAGAACAATCCATGACTGACAGAATGGATAACCCTGGGGCAGAGGAGAAGAGGAGGAGGGGGCTGGGGCTGGTGTTCCCTGGGCAGAGGAGAGGAGACTGGGCTGGTGTTCCCTGGGCAGAGGAGAAGGGGAGCTGAGGCTGGTGTTCCCTGGGCAGAGGAGGAGGGGAGACCGGGCTGGTGTTCCCTGGGCAGAGGAGAAGGGGGGCTGGGGCTGGTGTTCCCTGGGCAGAGGAGGAGGGGAGACCGGGCTGGCACTCATTCAGTTTTAGCAGTTAACAAGTCCTCACCATGATATTTTTAAGTTTCTAGCTGTCTTTGTTTGTTTGTTTGTCTGGTTGGTTGGTTGGTTGAGACAGGTTTCTCTGTGTAACCACTCTGGCTGTCCTGGAACTCACTCTGTAGACCAGGATGGCCTCAAACTCACAAAGATCTGTCTGCCTCTGCCTCCTGAGTGCTGGGATTAAAGGCGTGCGCCATTACTTGCTCTAGAAGTCTTTAATCTGGTAAAGAAAAGGCTTCATCTTTTTTCAGTGTGACCAGGCTGAGACAACGACCCCACTCCCCCCCCCACCCCGCCCCGCCCCAGTAACTGCAGAAAACCACTGGAAAGAGCCCCACATACGTCTTTCGCTGTTCAGCCAAGGAGTTTCCTCTGGTCTGAGCAAACATGTCAAATCCATCCTGAGGCTTACACTGTTGAAGTGAACTGAGGGTGCCACTGACACTCTCTGTCCCCAAGTCTGTGATGACAAAACAAGAAGCAGGTGAGAACAATGTGGGTTTAAAAAAAAAAAAAAAACCTTGTAAAAATGTTCTATCATTGTATTGTATTAACATTCTCTCTCTCTCTGTGCGTGCGTGTGTATGCAACTCAAGTCATCAGGCTTGCACAGAAAGTACCTTTATACACTGAGCCATCATCTCATTGGCCCCCAAATACGGGTTCTTAATGGAGTGCCCTAAAAGTCGGGATGGTCATCTAGAGGGTTAAGACACTGTGGAGTTTCAAGGCTGTCCTCAGTACTCCCAGTATGGCATACATAAGAGCCAGGGCAAGCTAGGTGGGAAACAGGTTTTGCCCCAATCTGAAGCTGCTCAAGGAGGGAAAGAGGTATCCTGGACAGAAGAGAGACTGCTGGCAGAGAGAAGATGGGGACAAGGGACAGCATGCCCCCAGCTTTCTCACCACGCCCTTCTCAGGTGCCCCCACCACATTCATTCCGGAACAAACTCTGAGAATCTGAGCCATGTATTTAACCTGGAAGCTACTTCCTAGGTACTGAGTCAGAGCTCAAGCAAGTCAGGTGGAGTCAACAGGTCCTAGGCCTCAGGAGCTCACATGTAATTCAACAGTTAGGAGGGGCCAACCCTTGCAATGTGTGGCTTTTGATGTTGGGAGAGGCTCAGGGTGGGTCCTTCAAGACGAGCAGAGCTGTGCTGCAGAGGGGAAGAAGATGGACAGAGACCATGGTTTGGAGAGCCAGGCGAGGGGACGTGTTAGCCCTTGAGAGGGATGAGTGAAAGGCATGGCTAGAAAGGAAGATAAGATGACCAGTGAGGTAAAGCAGTGCATGGAAAAGCATCAGGCATTTTAAAGACAGGAAAGCAGTGGAATCCACTTTGAATTTTAGGTATTAAATGTGGTGACTTGAACCTAGCATGGTGGCTTACACTTGAACTTGGGAGGCTGAGGTAGGAGGCTTGCTATGAATTCAAAACCAGCTTGGGCTACATATTGAGTTCCAGGCTGGTTGTTCAAAAAGTCAGAGACAATACAGGGCCAGTGAGCAGCTCCGCAGGGAAAGACACTTGTCATCAAGACTGATGACCTTAAATCAACCCCTAAAACCCACATGGTGGAAAGAAGGAACCAATTCCCATAAGTTGTCCTTTGGACTCCACATGTCACAAACTCACACACACACAATAAATAAGTCATCGTAATGAAAAACATACAATGACATATAATAAATATATGTCATCAGCTAGACACACTGAAGGCAAAGATATCTACTCTATTATGGATAGATGGCTACAGAGGAAATCGAGACACCAGAATTATAACAGCTGACAGACCACAGAATAAAAGTCTAATTCAACTGAAGTGAAATGAATAGAGAATTATTTGGGGGGAAAAACATAAAATCAAGGTAGAGGAAAGAATTTTGAAGGCCATGGTGGTTAGCTATACCAATATTAAAATATAATTTTGTATAACTTGGTATAAATGAAACATAGAGTCCTTGACATACTTTCATTGTGGAAAAGTGAGGAGTTTCTTCTAAATTTCAGACAATAGAATAGGTTGATGGTATAGTTTGAGGTAGGCAAATATATCACGCCACCACTTTATGTTTCCTAGCCCTGTGCAGACATTGCCAATCCATCCCAGATTCTTCTTTTAAGGATTGATGTGTAACAGTTAGCTTTAATTGTCAACTTCACATAATCTAGAATCACCTGAGAAGAGAATTTCAGTGAGGAACTCTGGATCAGGCTGGGACTGTGGGCACATCCGTGGAGGGTTGTTTTGACTGCATTAATGGAGATGGGAGGACCCATCCATGCTGGACAGCAATATTCCCTGGGTTTGGGTTCTGGACTGTATAAATGCAGAGGGGGCCGAGCACAGATAGGCATCCATGCATTCATTCTCTCTGCTTTTGACTGTGGACGTCACCAGCGGCATCAAGTTTCTGCCTTGACTCCCCTGCAGTGATGGACTACAGCCTGGGATTGTAGGCCAAATAAACCTCCCCTACGTTGCTTTTTGTTGGGATATTTAATACAGTACCAGACATGAAACTAAAACAATGTGGCTTTAGCTGCCTTTCAAACCCGTGTTCTGAGCAGCCAGTGAGGTGAGACCTAATTGCCACCTTCAGCCTAGTTCACAGCGAGAAACAAATCATTTCAAGCATGGAAACCCAGCAGGTCACTTGTCTTTAAAAAGTAAACAACTTCTACATCCTCAGAGCTTCCTCCACCTCTACTTCCTAACAAGGGTTGAACTTTACATTTTAGGAAAGGAGTTGGTTATAAATTGAAGATGGTGCAATCGGCTGGGACTCAGGAACACACCTTCTCGTGGACTGCTCTAAAGGACCTCTCTGACCATCTAACAAAGACAACGCTATCCAGGAGGAGGCCGGTAAGAGGGCCCTTCCCTCTACTTTAGGACACTCACCCAAGCCTGCGAGTTGGGAGGAGAGAGAAGATGGGGGTGCTGTGCTCCCTACCATGGGGCTCACCACAGCAGGGGAGCCGGGGCCCAGGTCTATTAAGTTGTCTTCAGTTACTTCGCTCAGTACCTGTTGGGACATGAGATTGACAATGAGGTCAGCCTTGGGTCAAGCTCCAGCTACCAGGACACAGATCTGCACACACTCACGAGGAAAGGCATCAAAGCTGTCTGGCAAATGAAAGGTGGCTTTCCTTATCTACCTGAAGGGTACATGGTGGGCCCAGGTTATCAGTGAGCCCCACGCCCTGCCCTCCTCTTCTCCCTTCTCACTAGGGTAAACTGAGTCACTAGGCTGGTGACTCATTAATGTCTGTGGGCTGTTTTCCTGCTACTTTCCCATCAGGAAAGCCTGCTAGCTCTCCCCAGGATCCCTTCAAATAGAGCTTGCTCTGCAGTTACCCAAGAATTTGTATTCAGTCCCAGTTAGGAAACCAGAAGCGAGGCCTGAGTAGGCGAAGTCTCTAACGTGTGTACTGGGTAGGTGCCCTCCTCAGAAGAGGGAAGTCCAAAGGACACTTACTCCATTGCTGGCATTCTGAACAGATCGGCCGGACCTGTACCTCTCGAACCTAATGGGAAGAAGAACAGGCATAAGGAGAATATGAGTGAGGCCCAAATGGCTGTCTGTGCTCATAGTCCTGGGAAGAACAATGGGACCTAGCAGAGGCAGGGTACCTTTAGTAGAGGGAACCTCACATGTTCAACTGTGCCATGCTTTCCTTGACAGGGGCTCCTGTCTCACAGGTTTAGCTCCAGGGTCTCTCCCATAAGCACCCTGAGCTGGGCTGGCATCAGGGACCCGGTATTGGCTGGTTCTTGGAGGATCCCACCAGAAGCATCCCTAGCCATCTCCTCATACATTTGGCCTCAATGCTCCTCCAGTCCCTGGAGGTATGCCTGGGTTATTTGTGAAGCCTGGCAGTAACTACACACCTCCCTCTACTCCACAGAGCTTTTCTTGGGGGTAATCGGCTTGTGGTTAAAATGCCCCAAGCCCAACCTGAGGAAGAGACAGGGGAGCCTGGAGAAAGTCCTTGTCAGAAACCACGCGATGGTTATGCCAATTACCTAAGGGCCGCCAGGAAGGTAAGAGGGAGCGGCCCTGCCAGGGACACCCTCCACCACATCCAGTTGGCAGATGGAGCTTAGCTAGAGCAACCGCAGGGGAGCATCCCCGCCACCACCGCCTGCGCCGCCCGCCGGAAGTTATCCTCACACCTGGTAGAAGTTGTGAGGTATCCACGGGGACAACAGAGCCTGTGCTGAGCTGTATTTCAAAGCGCCAAATGACACAGGTAGAGAGGAAGCCAACCACCTTACTCCAGCCACAGCCCAGGAAGCCAGAGAACAGAAACGCATCTGGTGTCATCAGCATCTGGGACAAGGCTTCCCAGCAGGAACAGTGTGACTAAGTAGGTGTACATTGTAGGGTCTGTGTATTGTTTGCGCTTTAGAAAGTTTGTTATGATGCATTGTGTGGCAGGGAGGGTGCTTTAGATAAAGAGTGAAAACACTAAAGTACCGGAGAAAGCACACTTGGGCTCTGGCTAGCATCAGAAAGAAAAAGAAAAGAAGAAAAAGGAGAAGTCACATCTTCCTGAGTCAATCTTGACTCAGGAAGGTGGGCCACGGCAGCTCATAGACTGTGCCTTTCTTTCTTTCTTTGTCTGTTTGTTTATTTATTTATATTTTTTGAGATAGAGTCTTGTTAGATAGCCTAGGCTGGCCTGGAACTCATTATGTAGCCTAGGTTTGCCTCAAGAGTCTCCTCTATCTACCTCCTAAATGCTAGGATTACAGACCTATGTCATGATATCTGGTTTCCATTGTAGTTTTAATCCCAGCATTCGGGAGGCAGAGGCAGACAGATATCTGAGTTTGAGGCCAGCCTGGTCTCCAAAGCGAGTTCCAGGAAAGTCAGGACAAAGAGAGACCCTGTCTCAAAAAAAAAAATAAAAAGAAAGACAGAGCAATCACAAGAGCATGGCAGTGTATAACTGTAATCTTAGAGAAGCCGGGGCAGGAAGATCAGGAGCCTCAAGGCCAGTCAGGGTTATGGAGATATTGTGTGTGCGTGTGTGTGTGTGTGTGTGTGTGTGTGTGTGTGTGTGTGTGTGTGTGTGTGTGTTTCCTTTCTTCTGATTTTGCTGGTGTGAGATTATCCATCCCTACTGCCAGTCAGGAGCTAGGCCAGCTCTAGGGGTGATGCGCAGTGTGGCCATCTTAGCATCCAAAGCATATATATGCAAACACAGCGTCTATCTTCTGTTCCTAATGATGTCAGGTCATCGTCCTTCTGACAGACCGATACAGAAAGCTGTCAGTCAGTAGAGGGAGTGGGCCGCAAGCCTCCAAGGGGCACACTGCTGTCAAGCTCTTTTAATGGAGAAGGCTGGCTTAGAGTCAAGGCAAGTTCAACCCTGGGCCAGCTGGGAACTGCCCGAATCAGGGGACAGATGGGAGCTGTTCCTGCCACCACCTACTTAAAGCTAGGTCTGGAAAAGGCGCTTCTGACTTTGTCCTGTGGGAGGCTGTGGAGAGGGAAAAGAGGCTCAAGTTTGTCACTTTAAGTGGTTTGGCTGCAGGAAGAATTGAAGGACTGTGTGTTTCCCCAGAGAAGCAGTGTTCACACGCTGCCTACTTCACTCAATACCCCAGACGTACTGACATTTACAAAGGGAAAGATCTTTTTTTCTTTTTTCAAGACTAGAAAGGAAGAGGAAACCCTTTTCTTTTGTGAAGGTTCCCCTCCCCCAATCCTTTTCAAATTCAAAGGGTCATCAAAGGAGCAGGTGCAGACCCGTCCCAGCCCTCCCTGGACTCACAAAGAGCAGAGGTGGATTCGCAGTCAGCTACCTGCTGTTCTGTTCTCTGGAGAACAAGAGCACTGTTTCTGTCATCCAAGAACAAATGAGCATCTCTGATGAGCACTTTCCACCTCTCACACCTCCCAGGTTCTCAGTCTCCCTTCTCTAGTTTGTTTATGAATGAAATTCCTCTGATATGCCAATCATCTTTTTAAGGGAAAAGACCCCAGAGGACTCTGGCCCCACCTCTCATAGCGGAGGAAGACGTTGTTGAGGTCATCGTTGACATGCAGCAGCTCCTCGGTGACCTCCTCATTGGACACTCGGGAGATGAGCTCCACTATGCGGTGCTGCATGGCCCGGCAGGTCCTGTTCAACTCCTAGGAAACACATGCACTTCTGGCAGAGCCTGCTGGGAACGCTTTTCTCACATTCTGCTGCCTTTGAAAGGATTTGTACTGATTCTTGAAAGTCATGGAAGGAGTACATGCTTGTTCATAAAACCAGACGTGTACAGAATGTGAAGTAACAGCTCCCTTCTCTCCTGCCTCAGAGGAAGCAAGTACTTCTTCAGTAGATGGCAGGTGTGTGTGTGTGTGTGTGTGTGTGTGTGTGTGTGTGTGTGTGCATGCACCCACGTGCACATGCATGTACGTGTTAATACAAGTCATTTTAAAAAAGAATATTTTAATGTAAATAAATTTGAAAATCAATGAGATACCTATAAAGATACAATTTAATAAAGTTATTCAAGCAGACATATTCCTATAATGCCACTAAAAACAAAATAAGTAATTAAATCCATAACATACAGAAAAAAGCCTTGGCGCAGTTGTATGACAAGGTACACTCGACCTAGCATGAATCTGGGTGACTGAAATAATCCCATGATGCCCATTTTGCTTTGTCTCTTGTCTCTTGAGTGTCCACCTCTGTTTGAGTTTGGTTCTAAAGCTGAACCGTCACGCTCCAATGTTAAGGCTGCCCACATACTGTCCTGGCACCTCGGGTGTTAGCTGACTTCAACAGCTAACTATACATCATTTAAAAAGATTTGCATTTTATGTGTGTGTGCCTGGGAGTATGCATGTGCACCACATGATTACAGGTGCCCATGGAGGCCAGAAGACTGTGTCAGACCCCCTAGAAGAACTGGAGTTACAGGCAGTTGTGGACTGCCCAATGTGGGAGCTGGCAATTGAACCGGAGTCCTCTCCAAGCACAGCCAGTGTTCCGACTACTGGGCTATCTTTTGGGTCCAGTACAAATAATTTTTAAGGTAGAAAAACATGATTCTTTGTGCCTTGCTTCTTCTCTTCAACATAACCCGCTCCTTTGTCTACTACTTTGTACAGATCACCTCATTCCTTTGCTTGCATGTCACACTGTACAGAGCTACTGGTGGACCTGTGGCTTGTGATAGCTCTGTCTTTGGCCAACCCAAACAATGCAGCAGTTAACACTCATAGCAATTCTTACATACTTAGGCAAACACTTCCACAGCATGAGTTCCTCAGAAGCAGAATCGCTGAGTGTCGGAGTCAAAGGCCCTCCACAACCGGGGCCAGTTTCCTTGCATTGCCAGCAATTGCATGACTGTACTCTATCTAAACAAGGTGGATGCTGTGCGGTGGCGTGCCCATTGCCTGGCTGGCTGTACTCTATCTACAACAAGGTGGATGCTGTGCGGTGGCGGTGGCATGCCCATTACCTGGCTAAGGACTCAGAAGCACCACACTGCTCACAGAGCTCTCTGTTGGCCAAAGATGATACCTGCAACCCTCAGCCACCACAGGAGTCCTCTCAACCCTTCAAAGCAACAGCCCCTTAAGACAAACGGACAGACCCTGTACCTTACGGACTGGTTTAGAGGAGCCAGCCACCCTGCCCCAGGGCAAGCTCCTAGCTAGGCTCTTGTTTGCAGAGACCCTTAAGCACCTGGTAGGCCCCTGCCCTCTCGCATGCCAGACTAAGGATGAGGATACATGGCTGGCTTGGCAGGTTGGCCCTTCAACCTTCCTGTGGGCCACCAGGGCCAAGGCAGAAGTGAAATACTGCTCCTAGACACTGGGGGGAGCTAATAATCCAGTTGGCTAAGGGCAGAGACACTAAAGCTGGCCTACCTTTCTCACAGCTCCACCCCAGGACTACCTTAGTCTGAAGGCAAAGAGTATCAGATCTAGTCAGCAGGCACAGGCGACCTTTGCTTCTTTTTGTCTCATCATTCCGCTGTCCTGGCTAGGAGATCTCTCTTCCCATCTCCCCAGCCCCAAGGCTAACACATGGGGGGCACTTTCCACTGTTCCTGAGAGAATGAACAGCTGAGGCAGCTAGCATTCCTCTCTCCCCTCAGTGCTTCAACTTTCAATGCTGTGGGATTTGGATGTTCTAGGTCTCTCCTCCATAGTACTCAGCCTTAGGGATCCACAGCACCCACCAGGGAACAAGGCCTGGCCCAAGGGGATCAGCCTGGAACCACTCAAACGCAGCTGTATTAATCAAGCTATAAGAGACCTGGACTTAGGTAGCTGAGTGCATACATGTCTGGTGTTTACCTGAACAAAAAGATCCCTTGAGACCCCTCCACCCTGGATCTGGCCGCCTTACAGACCTGTCATTCTCTGTCCACTCAGTACAACACTGTCAGTTTCTTAGGTACCACACAAAGAAGCTCAGTGTCTGTACTTTCCAGATGTTTCTCTGAATGTGGCTCTCCCAAGATTCCTACCCAAGGTTTGGAGAAGGGAGTATGACCCTGGAATAGTCTCTCCAGCAATGTCAGACTCTACCACACAGGCCCAGGGCAGGAAAGCATGGATGGCCCTGTCTAGTACCTCTGGCTAAGCAGCGATCCTTGGCTGTCCTTGTTTAGGGAAAGAGAAGGGAAAAGTCGGTCAGCTCTCATTCAAACTGTAGGCCAATGGCAAGGTAGAAACCAGAAAGTCAGGGAGCGCCCTGGCACGCTGTTGCAAACAAGGCTCTTCAGAGCCCAAGGGTCATCTCCACACACACCTTAGACTTTCAAGAACTGTGGCCTCACACACTCACCATATTGCTCAGGAACCATGAGGAGCTGACCCTCTGCCTTATACTTCGAGACTTCAGGGTGTTTCCCCACCCCAATATGTCATCATACAAATTTTCAACAATATATAGCCAAGTGTCAGGCATGGCACATGCCTTTACAGCACCCAGGAAACAGAGGCAGGCAGGATCTCTCTGAGTTTGAGGTCAGCATGTTCTACATAGTAAGTTCCAGGACAGCTAGAGCTACATAGAGAGACCCTGTCTGAAAAACAAACTGAAAAACAAAGCTGGAGAGGTGACTCAGCAGTTAAGAGCACTTGCTCTTCTTGTCGAGGACCTGGGTTCAGTTCTCAGAACTCACATGGCAGCTCACACTCCTTTGGCATTCATACGGTGAATACAAATACCTGCAGACAACACACTCATAAAATAAAGTAGATCTATTTTAAAAATCCATCCATCCATCTGCGTGTGTGCATACATATAATCAAAGGACCGCCACTTCTATGTTACAGTGTGGCTTTGCCTTGTAACTCCCCTGTTTATCTCCCTACCCACTCAGCGCGTTCACCAGAGACTCTGGCAGATCCTCCCTTACTAGGACTCACACAGCATTCCAGACTCAACAGAACTCCGTTTGGAGGAAGGATTCTCTTACTTTTCAAAGCCATTAGAAAAGTGCTAGAGGGGGCTGGAGAGATGGCTCAGAGGTTAAGAGTACCGACTGCTCTTCCAGAGGTCCTGAGTTCAATTCCCAGCACCCACATGGTGGCTCACAACCATCTGTAATGAGATCTGGCGCCCTCTTCTATATAGATAATAAATAAATAAATAATTCTAAAAAAAGAAAAAAAAGAAAAGTGCTAGAGGACTTCTGAAGAAGAAAGACCCAGACAGCGAGCTACAGACACTAAAACCCAGAAGCACCTGCTCTGACCTTGCATTGGCTGCTTCTCTCTAGGTGGTGGGAAAGAAGGCTCTCCCTTTTCAGAGTCTCACAGGTCCCACTGTGGAAGATGCCTCCAGGGCTGTCATAAGCACTCTGCTTAGAGACAGGCTCACACATCCTCAGCCTTCTGACTCAAGGTCTCTGCACATCTCCTGACTTCAACTTTCAAATCAGTCTCAAAAAAGGGTGAAAAAATAAATGAAATCCCATATATGTGAAATGAAATTATTTCAAAGAATATATTAATAATCTAAAATTCATGTGTTATTAATCAGTGGTACACCTATCTAATTCTAAAGCACAATGTGTATTTATTTATAGCTCACAACTGCCTGTAATTCCAGTTCCAGGGGATCTGATGCCCACTCCTGACTTCTGGCACCAGGCACACACATGAGACACAGATAGACATGCAGGAAAACACTTATACACATAAAATAAAATAAATAAATCTTTAGACAGAGTTGGGTTAGAAAGATGGCGCAGTGTTTAAAAATGTGTCCCGCTCTGGGAGGGGACCAGACTTCAGTTCCTAGCATACACACAGGATGACTCACAACCACATGATTCCCAAATCCAGGAGATATGATGTCTTCTCTTGGTCTCTGTAGGCACCTGCACTCATATGCACATACCCCCACACAAACACATAATTTAAAAAAATAATCATTTTTAAAAAGAAAAAAGAGATGGAGTAGAACCTTGGGATTTCAGCCAGCCCTGTGTCAGCTGGCCATCCACATGGCCTCCCTGGTGTTACTCACAGCCATCACAGCAGGCTCAGGGGAGCTACCTCAGTCCCCCTCCATTCCAAACATGCAGAGGAATGACTGATTCTCCTCTGGGCCAAGGGCCCTTAAACCAGCAGCCTGTTCAGGCTTCCCTTTCCACTTGGCAGACTCTGGGCCAGGAATCCCTTCAATGCCAAAGACTTCTGCCTTGGCATCCTCCTATCTCTGGTTCTCAGCAGCTAGTCACTTCTGCAAATGCCTGCCGTCAGTCAGAACACGGTATCGAATATCCTCTTCGCTGCCTAGTTAACCCTGATGCTGTTATCTTCCCTTCAAGAGACAGTCTCATCCCTACCTCACAAAACAATCTTTTTATCCTCTAAACCCTTTCAAGTCAAAGGAGCAGAGAAGTCAGTCCTGAAAACTTCTCCTGTTGCAGCAGCAAAGGAGAAGGGAAGGAGAAGGTCACTGGTGAGAAAGGGAGACCGTGAAGCTAAACGTTTGGAATATGCCAGATTTTTCCAAAGAAAAGACCTTGGCCACTCTGTTGAAATGAAATGCAAAAAGCATTGTGGGGATGGCCACAAGCTACTTAAACGAACGGCATAGGTTCTTTTTTCATCTGATAAAGATCTATATAATAACCATCACTGCGTAAGTCATTATTCATTGAAGGCAGCTTCAAGGGCTCAACTCTGTCCCAGTGATGCACTCAGTCTCAGCTAAGGGCATGTACTTTAGGAAGGACAATGACAGCTTTGCAATGTGGTTCAACCCATGTGCACGCAGATGTGGGAGGAAGATGGCACAGCACGCCAGTGGTGGTGCCCACCTTTAGTACTAACACTTGAGAAGCAGAATTGGGTGTGTCTATGCATAGTTTGAGGCCAGCCTAGTCTACACAGAGCATTCCAGGCCAGCCAGGGTTACATGGTAAGAGCCTGTCTCAAAACAAAGAACAAAAAGAAGGTGCAGGATGACAAGCGCCAGTCTCCTGTGATAGGCTGTCTGTTCCTATACAAGTGGGGTGTCAACAGCATGGACTTTGGACAGTCTGTAGGCTTTACAGCAATCTTTGGATACTTAAGGCTCTACCCATGAGGGAAAGGTATATTCTCTGCTTTTGTCTAACACAGATCAAATTAAAGCTACAGGAAACAGACTTGAGTTCAATGTGCGGAGGGCTTTTCAACAATGGTTACGGAAGCTATGATTTATAGAGGACATTGCCCTGTGACAGTCATTTTCACAGTGAAAGCGATCACTCCACGGATCGAGGCAGGAGATATGAGCATAGTAAGGGTTTGTGCTTTACCTGGAGCTTTCCAGACATGCATGCAGTTATTTGTAAGTGGTGTGCTCTGCCCTGCTGTGCTTAGAGGCTAACCAGGGTGCCTATTTGAAACAAACAGTGCTTTTTATGACAGCCAGAACAGCTTGTCACTGGGTTGTGAAGAGAAAGTGATCCAAGACTCTGGAGAGGAAATCTGGGCATAGGTGTTGAGTTGGACTAGCTGTCTGGAAGAGGTTGCTCAACTCAGAAAGTGGAGGATCTGACACCCACCCTGGGAGGTGCCGAGCGTCCCCTCCCAGCATCTTACCTCCTTGGACTTCAGCAAAGCTGACAGCACTAAGTGTCCTGGCCTTTCTTCAAAGACAGTCACTTTCCCAGGAATCCTCAGACAAGCAGTTTACAGCAAGTTTCCCTGTTGTTCTCCGGGCTGTGGGAGGACATGCCTGGAAGAGCCTGGCCATAAGCAGGAAGCAACTGGGATGCAACCTGCCCGTAAGTACAGTTAGCCACAGGTGCGTCCTGGGGCTGGCCCTTCAGTGACCTCTCCTCCCACTCTCTTTCCAATCATCACCCTACACTCATGTCAAGAGCAGCTTGTGTCGGCTGGTGGGAACATTTGGGCTGCTGACAAATATGCTTATTTCCAGGGCCCTGGCCAGCATTCTGAGCTCTGGTCTACTTCTGCTCTGAGCATTCTGGCTGTCTTCCATCTTCCCCAAGAAGTCTTGGGGACAGATTCTGACCCCACCACGTTCCAAGGAGGACAGTGGCATTTTCCCATATGGAAGACTCGCTCTTCTGTGGGACCCGCTGCCTGCTGATTGCTGGGGCAGAAGAAGGGGGACATAAGGCAGTGGCCTCCAGCCAGGAAAAGTGAGTCTGTTCACACAGCTACCCATTCCTGCCTCCTCTACACTGAAATGACAGCCTCCCGCAGGCACCCAGACACGGTCTTTTTCTGTTTGATTTATATGACAGCAGTGGGGGCCAGTAGGCTCTGAGTTGGAACAGAACAGAATGAAGGAAAATGTCATTGGAAGCAACCTATTTTTGAAAACTGAGCTGATGCCAGGAGACTAGGTTCTGTTATTCTTGGCTGATGGGCTTGTTTAAACAAACAAACAAGACACCCTAAAACCACACACACACACACACACACACACACACACACACACACACACACACACACACACACACACATACACACTTTCTGCTGTCTGTTCTGGCTGTCTGAAACCATCTTGGTGTTGTCCAACCTACCTCCTACTGTCAGGAGGTCAGTTCTATCCAGAGCAACAAGTCCCCACCCACAGAAGGAATTCCAACACTGATACAGCACAGTACCACCACATCATCCTAGACTGGCCTCAGATTCTTGTGCACCATAGGAGACTTAGAAGAGCCCTCCTGCAGGCTAGGGTAGAGACCAGTGCGGTATATTAAAGGGAGGCTGGAGATAACATATGGCCACCACCTAATGAATCAGGGGCCTAGTTTGTTACAGGTGTCAGGAGGAAGTCTGGGAACCAGAGAGGGGGTGCTTAGTGCTCCCCTCTGGGCTGGGCCAAAGGTACTCATCTCAGCTTCAAGAACAGCCTGCTGTCCAGGTCCCTTGGAGGTGAGCAGTTTCCCTGTCTGTCCCCTGTACTTAGGTGGGAGCTCCTAGAGCAGGAGCCACTTCTTCTGTTGTCTATGGCCCTCAGACTACTTGGTGTGGGACCAGGAGAAGGCCCTACCCAGCCTCGTCCCATAGGAACCAATAGCTTGGAGTGGGGAGTAGGGGCTCTAAGTAGCAGAACTACTAGGCATGCGTCTTATAAGTGCAGGACCATCAGAGCCTGGTTTCCCAGGTGGCCAGAGTGTGCATACAGCAAAGTGGGAGGCGTGGCCCTCAGGTGGACAAGACTGCCAGACGGAAACAGCAACAGTAGTAGCAGCAGGTGTATCATGAGGCTCTCAGGCCAGGTCATCAGGCCAGTATGACTCCTGATCTGTCCACTCATTCATCTTGTCTCTTGGAGGAGGGGTCTGGTACTTGTAGTTCACAGCATCCTTTCTCTACCCTTCCAGAAGGTCGCTCCCCTGAAGAGCAGGGCTACTGCCGTCTTCTCTGCAGGCGCTGTTTCAGGCTAATGGGGTAGAGCTCTGCACTGGCTCTGAGCCTCACGGGCTCTCACCTAACTGAAGGGCGAGATTGCAGCCTGGCTTGCTCCTGTCTCCTTTTCCTGCCACGGGGAGTGACTTGCCTAATACGCAGGCCCTGTGGCCCATCTCCAGCATCACCATCTCTAGTGTCCAGAGGCAAAGAGGCAGGGGGTCAAGGCAGCAGCTTCTCGGGAACCACAGTGTTCATGCCCAGCCTGAGTGGTCCCAGCAGTGAGGCAGAGAACAGGAGCTCTGAATTGACCTCAGAATCCCCTGTCTTAGGATGAGAGACTAGCAGGGTTTCTCTATGCCATCGAGTTCCAAGGACTCTCTTAGTCCAGGATGTTTATTACAAGGGAGCAGAGCCACACACACAAGGTTGTATACACAGCATGATTCCAATTCAGTGTAAAAATAAATGAACACAATGAAGAGTCTAACTGAAAATATACCAAAATGCAAACTCCACTTATTACAGATGGCTAAAAGCTAAGGAAATTTATTTCTGTGTTTTGATAGGCACTTATTCTACAACTGGTACTTTATAGTCAGGAAAAGGTTATTAAAGTAAAAATTGAAAATACAGATAGTGATACTGGCCTCTGCTCATCTCCAAGAAGTAAGGCTGACCATGAACCAACACGGACTTAGACCCCCTCCATTAAGGTGCCGCCAGACTTGTCAACATGGTTGTGTGCCCAAGGTGGGTCCTGCCACAGTGTGCAGCCGTGGTACTCAGCCCATGCTTCTAAGCTGAGGTTATCCTCACCTGGAGTAGTTCCAGATCGGAAGAATCCTCCTGCCCAGGGACCATTTCTGTTAACATCTCAGACATGACTTTTGTGTTCCCCCGAACAATGTCCAGCTCACTGCGCAGCCTAGCAATCTGCAGGTCAAGGAGAAGGCAGAAAGAAGGTCAGTCAGTCACAGGATCAGAACCAGCCAGCCCACGGCCTGAGACAATCCTGTCTACACTAAGAGCACTTAGATCAATATAAACATGCACCACAGGAGTAGCTTATCTCCCTTGCTCTACCTATCGAGAGCTAGCAGTATGGTGAGAACCACACGGGGGAGCCAGGTCACCAGAGCCCCAGTCACTACCAATCTGTCCACGACAACACATGAAGAACGGTGTGCAGGGAATGGGGTAGAAGGGAGCTGAGTACATCAGCTCTCCCTCCATGGGACCCTGAATAGGCCTTTAACCTAACTAGGCTTCTATATCTTCTCTCTAAAATCAGTGTATGGTAGTGCAGGTGCTCCAAGATCCCCTAGGGTGGAGTCCCTATTCTACATGACCCTCATGCTCACAGACTCTGTCCCTGCCAGTGTCATACCCTAAGGGAGGCTGGCCAGTGCTCATAGCATTCTTCTGATAAGAAAAGAATAGGTGAGGAGTGGGGGCAGACTCTTCAAATTCCCCATCCTGCCCAGCCATCAGCATCCGCAAGGTCTGTGCCTTCTCTCCCGCAGTTGGCAAACTGTACACTGGCTCCCTTTGTCCTCCAGTCCTGAGCTTCTGGTTACCTCCAGGGATCTCTAATTCTTTCAAGACATTAAGTGGAAGCCACAGGGACGTTTTTGTCCACAGTGAGGCTTGTAAAAGTTGTATAGGAATGCCATCCTTTTCTGGCAGGAGACCAATGCACAGCTGACAGAGTTACAACCTGCCTTGAGATGCGTGCAGAACCCTAGAAGAGTCAGTGAGGAAAGGACGCTGCAGCAGCACCCATGTCCAGAGATGGACCAGCCTTTTCCAAGTCTATGCCCTCACCTATGGGAAGGGGGTGATAACCCCACACAGGCTGCTGCATGGCCTGCCTTGTGCCTGCCACACCTGGTTTGCTGCACGCAGCGGGCCACAGGCATGGCCTGTTCCTGTGGAGTCCCAGAGCTGGACAGAATGGGTACTTATCATGCAGGAGACCTATTCCAGACCCATGCCTCCCTCTCCTAGAAGGCCTTTCCACTTTTCCCTGGCTTGCCCAAGTATAAACATCCACTACCAGTCTCTCACATCCACTCCTGTGCTGCAGGGTTCTCTCAGCAGACTCTTAGGGAAAGGACTGGCAAGAAACCCACCTCAACAATCACTTGGGGGATGTTTTGGGCTCTAAAAGGCTCTTGCCAGCCTCTGCCTCACTTGGGAGGAGGCCCCAGGGTCTCCTCCACATCTTGGTTAGGAAGTTTCTACCACTGATGGGCTCTGAAGCAGGCCAGGCCAGACAACGGCCTAGCTGCTCTAGCTTCCATTCTCCGCCTGGGACAGGAGCCCGGTTCTCAGGGTTCCTACACTTCTTACCACTCAGGACCTCCTCTTGGCCATTCCAGCTGCTGAAGGGCCCTTCCTTGGCGCCCATCACACTGAAGTGAGCCGAAGCAAGGGCTCCACCACCATCCAGTTTGAAATACTTTTTGCTTCCTCAGAGAAAATCTGGAGCTCTGTCCAAGGAAGCAGGGCCTAGAGCCAAGACCTTTCTGCCCACAGCTCCCCTTTACAAAGGCTCTGGCTCTGGGGGTGAAGAGGGGCAGCATTCAGTGACCCGGGTCCCACTGAGAGCATTGACTCCACATTTCAGCAGTGGGATTAGACAAGGCCCCAGTATTTGGTGGCCACATGGGACTGTCTTCCTTCTGTGGACTAGAGTCAGGACCTGGCTACCTGCTCAGACAGAAGTTAGCTTTTCTACTGAAGCCTTACATGGAGCAGCAGCATGCGGCTCACACCTGGGCCTGTGTGACTCCTTGCTTGCATTCTGCTTGCACTACATGCTCTCCTTAGCACTGGCGGAAGGACAGAGCCCTAGCACAACACTACTGTTCCCTATAAACAACTGCCTGAACCCCCTACTTGAACAAGGTTCCACAGTAATGGCACTGTAACGAATAGGAACTACAAATACTGAGTAAATTTTTTCCCAAGTCTCTCCCATTCTAAAACTTTAACTAATAGAAATTCTATAGATTCAAGTAAAAAATAGTCACCCTAATTTCTCTAAAGATAAGATTACACTAGCTTATTGGGAAGTAACCCTCAGACAGGCAGTGTCTGGACTGAGGCAGGAAGATGTTTCTGGAAGGCTTGCCTGATCTAGCTGCTGCCTTCAGAGCCCCTCACTGATTAGGTATGAACTGTGATGGCTGGCGCGTCTCACGGATTCACGCTCACTTCCCCAAGCGGTGAATGCCTATTCACCTCTCAGCTGTGCTCCTCTGCTTTGGACCTTGCTGTCGCTACCTCCCCGCTCGGCCTACATGTTAACCTAGCTGCGGACGGGCCTGCTCCCGAGTGCTCCCTGGTGTGGCACTCCTCTGTGTTGCGTGTGACAATGGCATCCTCGTTGGTGATGATACTGTCTGCACAGGCTTCAGCCGACAAGCCCCAGAGCCCTCAGTGCCATAGACCCCAGCCACCTTCCAGGCCCTGCTCAGCCTTGACTCACAGAATGCTCAGCTGTTTCCAATCGTAGCAAGACTACACACTACTGCAATGACCTCCAGTCTGTCTACTCCGGGGACTAGGCCCCTCCATCTTTGTGTCCTCATACCTAGCACAGTACCTGGAAGTCCAGGGAGACCTCTGTCCCCTGGAAAGGGATGAGGGGACAGTTGGCTGGCTTGCTTCTGGCCTGGAAGCACACAAATACCTGTTCTGAATTGGCTGTGATGGGGCCAGTCACACTCAGAGCCGGGGCCTGCAGAGTAGAGTAGGAAGCTGGAGAAGGTGAGGGATAGGTGCCCGTACTTGTCCTGGGCTGCGACTGGGACCTGGACATGGTGGCGGCTGGATCCATTTCTGGGACACTCTGGCATGACAACAACAGCATTTTTTGGTTCACTTGGGTGCCTAGGTGGCTTAGCCTGATACCGCCCCGAAAACAGGAGGTGCTTTCCGTCAGAATCCACAGAGCTTCGTGAGTCTTCGAGGTCAGCGGAGCCACCACTGTCTCTCTTTCCTCCCTCTCTCTACCTTCTGCTCTCCCTCCCTTCCCCAGGATGTGCTGCAGACAAGCAATGCAAGCCAAAAGGCCCCATGGGAAGCACTCTGAGAGTACTCCAGTCACTGCGTGGTTGTCATTAAGGCCACCTCCAGATCAGGGTACTTACTAAGTTTGCTAATCATGAATCCTTACTTGATACCACAAGACAATACTGTGGCCTTTACAAGAAGACTAATATAGATAGCAATCATGCAATTTACTGAATGTTCTTGTACAACACTGTTCCTTCTGTGTCATTAATGGAAGAATAAAACAGGTTATGTTTATACAACAAAGCATAGTCATCAGCTTAGAGGGACCATAACAAGAATAATGCTTTGGAAAATGGGATTCTTTTTTTTTTTTTTTTTTTTTGTTTTTTGAGACAGGGTTTCTCTGTGTAGCTTTGCGCCTTTCCTGGAACTCACTTGGTAGTCCAGGCTGGCCTCGAACTCACAGAGATCCACCTCTGCCTCCCGAGTGCTGGGATTAAAGGCGTGCGCCACCACCGCTGGGCTTGGAAAATGGGATTCTTTATGCCCTCTACCCACTTAGGTATCTCAGATTTCCTCCGCAACATTAGCAGGTGTTCACACACATGTGTAAGGCACACTGCCATCCGTGAAGTCCCCATGAGAGACAGGCGGACAGAGACCAGCAAGGCCATGGGAGCTGCCACTGGTGCCTCTTCAGACTGGGCTGTCCTGCCTCTGCCCCTTGACTGGGAGCTGCTTCATGGCCAGTACAGGAGCTAATTTCCCAGAGGAACCATGATTGGCATTGCCAGCATTCAGTTACTTCTGAGACGCAGGCCCACCCTGGCCACCGTCAGCACCGAAAGAGGTCCACCAGGACGCTTTAACCAGACCTTCCCTGGGTTTTGAGGCCCAAAGCTGACAGAATTCAAGAATTCCTGGACTGATGCTGAATGCCCATGGCTTAAAATACATTTTAGATCCTTCTGACTGGGCTGGGATGTGATTTAGTAATAGAATGTGTTCTTAGCATGTTCTATCTCCAACACCATATTAAAAGCAGAGAAATTATCCACTTGCTGTATACTGAGAGTTGCTCTTTGCCTCTGCTGCATAAACATCAATGCTCAGGACCACAGGAAATAAGGACAGACTCTCATGCATGTTCTGCAGTCTTCTGGAAAGCAGGTGCTAATGACCCTTATAGGATGGCTCAGCCAAAGCAGCCATTTCCACAAAAGTGCTGAACTGAACCTTCTATCATATCCCTCCACTGTCAGTGTGAAACCGGGAGAGACTCTGCTGCTGCTTAATCACCAGTCACCCAGCTGTCTCCGTCTGCATCCCCCTTGTTATGAAAAAGAAATGCCCTGGAGCTTTAAGAACACATGACAAGCTGAATAATGCAAAGGCATCAGCAAAAGGCTGGTACAATGCTCGGCTGTTCTACAGGCAGGTCTTTCTAGAAAACACTAGCTGGAAGCTTACCCGCTGGGGTGTGTGGATGGGAGACAGAGCGTCCAAGTCTGCCATGGGAAATTCAACTCCCTTCCTCTTCAGTTCTTCATAGATGTGCACAACGCCAGTGAGGTCAGGACTGCTCCTAAAGGCATCTGCCCACGCCTGGCAGGAAAGAGGATGGCCTGTCAGAAGTGGAAGCGGTCCTTCCACGGGGTGGCAAGGTGCTGGCAAGTCAGCCCAACCCTCTCGGAGGCTGGTGCTGCCCTACATGCCCTTGCAAGGCCCACTGGCAGATCCTACGCGGCTCCTCTCCTGAGATCGTTGCTGTGACACAGCCGTGGAAGGCCTGGCTTTCGACGATGCTGCTGAATGTGAACAAACTCATAAAACTTGATTCAGCGTGTGCTTTCTTAGAGAAATAACACCTAAGCACCGTGCACACCCTGAGATGCAGGCATTTGTCTCACCTCAAGGAAATCAATTGCCAGAGCTGTTGAACTGAAGGAAGTGGAGGACTTAGTTTTCAATCACACACACACACACACACACACACACACACACACACACACACACACGGAGGCAGGAGCCATAGGCGAGCTGAACAGAAAGAAAAGGAGAAATTGATGTGATGAGAAATCAGGGCTGAATCCAGTTTTCCCCAGCAGATCAGTCAATGCTAAAACCTGCCTGTCCCCGCCCGTCCTGTCACTACAGGTGAGATGATTTCAGCTCAGGGGCATACGAGTCCATCGGGAGCCAGACCATGGCCAGTGGCTGGGGCTCACCCCACCTCCCAGGAGTCCCATATCAACCTGGTTTTTCTATTACGTTGTGCTGCTGACAGTTTGAACATGTATCTGCCCCCACACAGAAATGAAATGGAAAGTATCTTCAGCAGTCTCTTAAACGAAGAGTACAAAAAGGAACAACTGTGAACAGGTTACCATTTCTGGTGATGCATGAACTTCTTAATAATTACAAAAACAATTCTGTTCTCTGGAAGATATTGAAGAATCAAATCCAGAAATCATCCAACAAGCTCTTCAGAAACAGGGTCCCCAATGCCACGCCCTTTACCACACATCTGTACCCAAAGGAAGAGATACTACTACGTTTTAGAGTATGTCACCATCATAGTATTTAATGGCCTACAGCCATGAGCTCCAACTAATCCTGAGGCAGCCACAGAAATTCTATCTCTAACCACCAGAGCCACTAGAAGTTAAAAGGCCATTTTTTCCCAAAAGCTTCCTTAATTATATCCAATGCATCTCACGCACTACAAACACCACCATCAGCCTGGCTTTCTCTCCTTGATGCATTTATTTAACATGCATACTCGGGGATTTCACATCACCATGGCACCAGGATAGCCTATCTCTGCCAGTCCTTTCTTCTGCATCTGAAGGTACCGACAGAGGCTGTCAGCAAGACCCAGCTGGAGACCCATGCAGCCTCGCTGCCTTGCTCTGTCCTATCCCTCTAGCATCACGAAGCCGGCTCCCACCAGCTGCTCTTGCTCCACCCTACTCAAAATCCAGAGTCTTGTGTTTCGAGGATTTCATTTTAGGGACCAAACTTGAGAGTCTGGGGGCTGGTGGTACAGCACTTGCCTAGCATGCATCAGGCCCAGGTTCTATGCCCAGCCCTATAAAAAGAAATAATAAAAACAAAAAAAACTTGGGCAGGGGGTGGGGGTGGGGTGTTGCACACCTTTAGTCCCAGCACTCAGGAGGCAGAGGCAGGCAGGCAGATCTCTGAGTTCGAGGCCAGCCTGGTCTACAGAGCAAGTTCCAGGACAGCCAAGTCTATACAGAGAAACCCTTGAAAAACCAAAACTAAATAAATAAAATAGAAATAAATACATAAATAAACTTAAGGAGTCTAAAAACTATACTCATAGCCCACTGTCACTTCCTGCCTCTGTTTCCATGGAGAAACAAATGGCTCTGGGACCTCCTTACTCCAACCCATATGAGAGTTTGAGAGGATGAGAAAAAGTCTAGGTGGACACTCAGGACTCCTCCCCAGACTCAGACACACTCGGGAGCTGTGCCTGATTCAGACACACTCTAGGGAGCTGGGACACATCCCAAGGTGGGACTACCAGGTTTTCCTCCTGCCAAGAGCTCAGCCCTGGACACAACAGGGACACAGCTGGGTCTGTCTCTTGGTGTTAAAAGATCGCCCTCTATATAAGTCTGACGGGTGGCTCAGGACCAGGGGACAGAGACAGCTTGTGCTTTGAAAGGAACAGCTGCTATGCCGAGTGGTGTGCAGAAAGAAGATGTGAGGGTTCCCTGACCCCTTCCGTCACTTCCCAGGCCCAGTCATACCCTGGGCCAGAGTGACCTGGGCTTCTGGGAGGGTCTGCTTTGTCAAGACAAACTCTCCTCGGTAGCTAGGAGAGAAGAGTTGGCATTAATTTGTAGATAAGAAGTCTTGGTTAATAACCCTATCCCCACTTGCCACAATGCCAGCTCCTGTCTAGGACCCCTGGGCAGCCTGGGCCAGACTGCTGCAAACAAAGCATATGCTCACAACAGTAATCTCCCCTGAATAAGAATCTGATGCCAACAGACGGACCAACAGGGAGGAGGGACACACTTGAAAGGAACGGCTGTATGTGAGGACATGGAGATGGGAGAAATTATTGCTGTCACATGTTCCAGAATCTTCTAGGGCCATGCCTGAATAACTGTTCTTGTCTCCCTGACCAGGTCAGGCATCTTTAAAGGTATACACAGGTCTCTTACCCTTGTACAGGGAAGGCAGTCAGTTGTGGTGATATGTTGTTTATCAAATAAAGCTTGCCTGAGCATCAGAGGACAGAGCCAGCCACTAGATTAAACATAGAGGCCAGGCAGTGTTGGCACACATCTTTAATCCTAGCACTCAGGAGGCAGAGATCGGTCTGGATCACTATGAGTTCAAAACCACCCTGGACTACATGAGATTGATTCAGTCTAGGAGAGAAACAGAGCCAGGCAGTGGTGGCACACACCTTTAATCCCAGTACTTGGGAGTCACACGCCTTTGCTACCAGTATTTGGGAAGCATACACACCATTAATCCCAGCACTAGGAAGGAAGTGAAATGGCTGGGTGGAGAAAGGCATGTAAGGCGTGAGGAAACAGGAACTAGAAAGCCTTTTCGGCTCAGGACTCAGAGGCTTGCAGTCAGAGGATTCGTGGGGATAGGATCTTGCCTTCCATTTGGCCTGAGGATTCGGTAGTGGTGAGAAGTTTCTCTAGTGGCTTGTTCCTCTGTCTCTCCAATCTTCCAGCACTTACCACAATATCTGGCTCCAGGTTTTTATTATAATAACATTTTAGAATTTGAGCAACAGTTAGTCGATAGCTGTTAGGCTAAATTTAATTGAGTTCTCATAGTTACTAAGCATCCTTTTCTTCCTGCTTCAGAGAAGAGAGGAAAGATGGCCACGGAGGCAGTCAGCAGACAACATACCCATGATAAAGTAGGGCCCCTGCTGCAGGCTGAGCCAAGGAACTCTCCTTAGGAGAGCTGAGGCTAGTTTGAGAGGACTTGGTCACCCTGAACCCCTGACCTGAGACCCAGGATCAGTAGAGAGGGTAGAGGCAGGATGAGTCCCATGTGAAGCAGGCTCCTGGTAGTAGTAGTTCTGGCATTCTCTCAGCTTCTCTGTCATCAGTGCTGTCTAGCCAATGACATGGTGGCCATTTCACCAGAAGCCAAGGTCTTTATGTAATTTCCTCTTTTCCTGTCTGTGGCTTCAGAATTTGGAGGCTGAAAGACCCAAAGGCGGGACTCATGGGAAGACAAAGGTCAATTTGTGCTTCAACTTTGTGTGCCACACTGTAGACACAACATGACTATATTCTGTCCAAGGTTTTGAGTAGCAACTTTCAGAGCAAGAGATAAGTATGGATTTGAGCCATGGGTCCTGGGATACCTCTGGGCAAAGGAGGCTCGGTCCTCTTCTGCCCATGCCTCAGTATAGGCTTTCTGTTCCCAGGGGACAAAGTCCCCAGGAAATTGCCAGAGGCCTCCACCTGAAGCAGTGTGGTCAGGATGCTTCTCAGGGATGAGTCTCAGGTGCCACCAGGTATCTGACACTGTCAAAGAACACAATCTCTCAGACCTTTCCAGACTCCCTCTCCATCCCAACCCAGTCACTGTCTTCAGTAAAAAGAGTACTTTTAAGCTGAGTGCAGTGGCACACACCCTTTTTTTTTTTTTTTTTCTTTTTTGGTATTTCGAGACAGGGTTTCTCTATGAAGCTTTGGAGCCTGTCCTGAAACTCGCTCTGTAGACCAGGCTGGCCTCGAACTCACAGGCATCCACCTGCCTCTGCCTGGCGGCACACACCTTTAATCTGAGCACTCAGAAGGCAGAGACATGTGGATCTCTGAGTTGGAGGCAAGCCTGGTCTACAGAGAGAGAGTTCTGGGACAGCCAGGGCTACACAGAAAAAAACCTTGTTTCTAAAAATAAAAACAAATAAACAAACAAACACAAAAAAACAAAACCAGGAAGGAAGGACAGAAGAAAGGCAGGAAGAGAGTGTTTTTAGAGTTTAGTGCTGGCATATGGAGGGGGGCAAGGGCATGAGCAGCTTGAGGATGTTGTACCAGGAAGACCCCATATATCTATATCTATCCCTTAGAATAATTTTAGGGAGCCTAAGGGGTGGCACAGAATGGGGCAGCCTTCATGTCTTCTCAACAGGTGGGACTTAGAGAAGGCAGAAAGGTGAGCATTAAGAACAGCCAAGGGAGTAGAGAGAATGTGGGGCAGGGAAGACGCTGTGGTAAGGTCAGGGCGGGGGCATTGGCAGCTGCTCACCAGGCTTTCCTGCTCTCATGTGACTTTCCTCACACCATCTGGAGGGGCAGATGCGTGTAGAAGGGGGAATACATCAAGCCCCAGACCTGAGTTCTGTAAATAAACTGAGAATCATGTCACCCACCCGTGGATTGTACAAGGATCGTGGGGGCCATGGAAGATGGTCTCGTTTGAGTGTTCTCGGGGCCATTCAGAGAACTCAGCCCGAGGGATTGATTATTTTCACTGAACTTTAGGAGAAAGTGCTGATTAGTGTTTGTTAACTTGACACAGCCCTGAGTCAGCTGGGAAGAGAAAGCCTCAATTGAGGAATTGCTTAGATCAGACTGGCCTGT